ATGCCAGGTTTAAATGAAGAGCTTACAATAAATTTTGATGTAGACCAAGTGGACCCAAACTGTGGTTTGTGGACCACCAATGGTCCACAAGCTTCATTGAGGTGCCCGGTGGCATGTTTTGTGAAGAATTCAAACTGTAAGCCAATAGTAAGAAATAAAAGCAATTAAAATACAATTAAAAATAATGCAGCACCTCACGCAGCTGATTGTAATTGCTACAACAGGAAGGAAAATCATTAAGTGGTCTGCCAAAACCCTCAGCAATTGTCAAGTGGTTTGTTGCAAGTGGGTGGGGTGGGAACCCCTGATGCAGACCAATTATTAGGCTTTTCTTTTTTGTGAAATGTGGCCTCAGCAGTCATGTTTACACAGTCTCAATTTTATTATGAACACCTCAAGACAATTTTTCAGGTATTAGTAACTGTGTTGGTGCCTGTGCACGTACAACCACCATTAGCAAAATCTTAGCAATTGCATTGGCCCCATTGATGAGGGCAAATGAGATGGTGCTAGCGTTAACAATGTGAAGTGGATGCTTTCTTGCTATTTTCAACTTATTTGTTAGTGCACAATTTCAGTTCGATTGTACCGAAAATTACTTTTACTATTAAATCCCATTGATTTTAAAAGCAGAGAGTCAGGTCTCCCACTATAATCAACGGAACACAAGATTTGTTATGTCTAAATTGGGCCCAAAGTCCTTGGATTAACTTATTTTGTTAGCATTTGGGGATGATTCCAGGGGAAAAAAATGTAAGCCCTTCTGAGTATATAAACATAAGTCAATGACTAACTTTTTCATTCAGACACTGGCTGCAATCATATGTACCTTTATCTGGGAATAAGCCCCACTGAACACAGAATGACTTGCTTTTGATTTTATTTTATTTTTACTTGCTTTTGAATTAACATGTATAGGATTTGAGTGGTTGTCTTGCATATTCCCCATAGTAATGTACCACCACACATATACCCCTCATCATTGCTATGCGCTCTGTGGTGGTGGTGGTGTTTTTTACAAAAATATTGTTTCTACTGGGTTTCATTCTAGATGCATGCCATGAAGTAGGATTAATCCAATCCTAAATGATCAAATAGACAATTTTGCAATATTATTTCTGATTTCTTATGAGTAAAAAGAACCAGGCTTCAACATTCGATGTAAATGTTAAGAAGCAACTAAGCTTTTTTGTTGTTGCAAACCAGTAAGCCAAGGTAAATCAGGCAGGGAGATTGATAAAGAATTCCATTAAACGAAATCATCTTTTAAAAGCAGAAGTCTTTTAAAACTGATTGTACTTATTCAACATCTGGATGCTTTCTTTCATACCATACCTACTTGAAATTTGGTAGTTATGCTCAGTAGATGGCATCACCAAACCTTTAAAAAGATAGTAGCCATCATTACTCTGTGCAATTTGGGACAAAAGTACATTTCTTTCTTCATTCCATTACGATTCCCGGATACTCCATTGCTAGGCTACCACATTGATTATTTTGTAAAGTATCACAGAATAATAGTAATAAGAGGAGAGAAAAGAGCAAGTAAATTACTTGTCCTTCTGTCTGTAAATGGAAGATTACTTCTCTCAGTCATTTTTCTGAATTTGTCCTGTCTGGGGGATCCACGCTACAACGCTATTCTGATTTATCTGGGTGTAAGCCCTACTGGACTTAGTGGGACTTACTTCTGAGTAGACACATATAGGATTGTGCTGTCAGATGCTTGATGCCCCACTTTCCCCCTTGGATTATTCTGCAGTTTCATAGTTCTTGCTAGCAAGTCCTTCCCCTGCCCCCCAAGGTTCAGATTCCCAGTGCTTGTGTTTTCTATTGTGCTTGCTGCTGATGTAAATGTTGCCATGCACATATGGTGCCCAAATTAACACATCTATGCAATAAAAATAAAATGGCAATGTCTGGAGAATGAAGAGAGGCTGGATAAAATAGCTGTCGTAATTTGCATGTTTAGATTTGTGACTCTGTGGTGCGTTTTACAGCCAACCCGTGACAAGCTGATTTTCCCGGCCTGCCTTATCTGTGTTATGCCATGATAGTCTTGCCTAGCTGTGTTTTATGCTTCTTTTCTACCAGTCCTCAACTGAAAAAGAAAGGGTCAGGGAAGGTAATACATCCTGCCCACAGGGCTGAATAAAGCCAGGCTGACAGAACCAGAGATGGCCCAGGATATTCTGCCAACTGAGGCAGAAAATCCAAATAGGCCTCCCTTCTCCTTCAACACACCACTAATATAAGGATCGATCCCCTGTGTAAACTTACTTTAAATCAACTGTGTTCCTGTTCAATTTTTTACTTTAAATATTTCTTAGTTGCCTTGGAGGCAAGCCTTTCAAAGGGGGCATACAATACATTTAAGAATAATACAGTAAGACCGCGTAATAATGACTAAACAGCAGCAAAGGAACAACACAGCTACTGAATGTTTTTAGGCGCCCCAATATATAGGACATCACTTGTTTCCATGGCATTGTAATCATAGTCATTTGCTATAAGGTTTATTTATTTATTCCCTGTTTCATACTCAGGCAAATCTTCACAGGTTTATCAGGAACATTTTTTTAATTAAAAAAATTAGCATTTCCAACCCTGGGCTAAGCTCACTTAGAATGTGTGACATCATATGGTGTGTTTTTTCCCAATTGGCAATGTAAATCAATGATGAATGTAGTTATATAATAGCAAAACTGAGGAGGGGGAGCCTTGATTCTACCAGAGGTAGAACATACAGGGCCACTCCCTGCCAAACTCCAAAGTAGGTCAGATGTACATTAACTGTTGCTGCATATGAAACTTGCAACATCTGAAATAATAATAATAATAATAATAATAATAATAATAATAAATTTTGTTATTTAGACCCCCCAATCTGGCTGGGTTTCCCCAGTGACTCTGGGCGGCTCACAGCATATATCAGAACAAACTAAAACATCAAGCATCCAAACTTCCCAATACAAGGCTGCCTTCAGATGTCTTCTAAAAGGTATATGGTTGTTTATTTCATTGACATCTGATGGGAGGGTGTTCCACAGGGAGGGCGCCACTACCAAGAAGGCCCTCTGCCTGGTTCCCTGTAACCTCACTTCTCGCAGTGAGGGAAATAGGGAGCTGGACCTCAGTGTTGAGGCTGAACAATGGGAGTATACTCCCAGGAGAGTATACTCCTTCAGGTATACTGGGCCAAGGCTGTTTAGGGCTTTCAAGGTCAGCACCAGCACTTAGAATTGTGCTCGGAAACATACTGGGAGCCAATGTAGGTGTTTCAGGACCAATGTTATATTGTCCCGGCGGCCACTCCCAGTCACCAGTCTAGATGCCACATTCTGGATTAGTTGTAGTTTCTGGGTCACCTTCAAAGGTAGCCCCATGTAGAGCGCGCTGCAGTAGTCCAAGCGGGAGATAACCAGAGCATGCACCACTCTGGCAAGACAGTCCGCGGGAAGGTAGGGTCTCAGCCTGCGTACCAGATGGAGCTGGTAGACAACTGCCCTGGACACAGAATTAACCTGCGCCTCCATGGACAGCTGTGAGTCCAAAATGACTCCCAGGCTGTGCACCTGGTCCTTCAGGGGCACAGTTGTCCCATTCAGGACCAGGGAGTCCCTAGGGAGTCATATGACAACAGCAAATCAAGCCCTGGGGGCTGTCATTACCTGAATTAAAGACTGTATGATACAGCGTAGTGTTTCTGTTACATCAACACGTGTAGGAACACAAAAGCTGCTGTAATCGGATCTCTGAAGACCTTGATGACTGTTCTGGTAAGTAAAGGAAAGTGACATTTTAAACAGCAGTTGCGGCAGTGTTAAAAGCCTTAAAGTGTTACATTAAAAATAGCAGGTATGCGCTGACAAATACAGTGGGAGACTTCAGTTTCCCTCAAGACTCCTGAAGCAGCATTTGTGTGTGTTTACATTGGAAGCACTACGTATGCTATTTTAATAGTGGAATAACAGGAATGGTGGGGATGATCTTCAGTGTGCCAACTGTGACAGAAGCAGGAGGCTAGGAGATCTTGCTTATGCTCTTCCTTGCAGAACTGCCTTGCAAGGTAGGCCAGTTGTGACTCACTATCTGATAATGCTGCCATTACACTCCCTAGTAACCCCTACAACTCCCAGGCAGGGTGAATTCTTTGAAGTGAAAGCAATTGCTTCTAAAGGGACTCTGAAATAGTGCACCCTGCACTTCTCAGCCAACTCCCTCTAGGTTTATCAGGAACATCAGGGCTTGCATCCAGCTGCCTTTCGCACTGGGATGTTCAGTGCACACACGGGAGATTATGAGAATCCTAGAGTTTAAACACACTTCAGACGCCAACAGCAAAATTATATGAAGTAAAAGAGAGAGAGAGAGAGAAGAGAAAGCAGATTACAAAGCTGGATTTATTAAATAAAAGGAACCTGTAGGTTTAAACATATCTAACCTTACCTTAGTTAAATATAGGATTCTGATCTCCCCATGAGCAATGCAGCCTGGGTGGTCAGTTGCAGTTTTCTGATGGCCAACGAGGGGTGAGGGACCCTGATGTCTGGGATGAGGACTGCATAACAACAGCCCACTTTTAAGGGTTTTCTGCCCACATTAGGTTGAGTGATAGGCAGCAGCTTTTCAGCCAATCAGATCCCAGTTGACTTTTGCCAGGTACTCAGTACACACCTTCAGGGAAGTTGGAGGGCTGCCATGGCTGACCCCTTTTGGTATCTGGGGAGATGGTTATCAGTGGTGTAAATTGCTATTGAGATTCCTTCCTCTTCCTGTCATACAGAACCTAGGCTGTGTTTATGAGTTGGGAACTTTGTGGGAGGACATACCTGACTCCTTCAGGTGAAATGGACAGCAAGATGACACAACCAGTTACTTAGATTTCAACATCTACAATATAAGGGTGTTACAGAGCACCCTGTCTAAACTCTAGCATTTGTAATAGCATTTGGCAATAAAGCTCCTTCATGGTGTGCCCTATTAGGACATTAGTGGGAAGGGGTGTAGCTCAGCAGTGGAGGAACTGCTCTTCATGCAGAAGCTCCAGAGTTCAATCCCTGGCATCTCTAGGTAAGGCCAGGAATGTCCACTGACTGAAACCCTGGAGCACTGCTGCCAGTCAGTGTAGACAAAGCTGAGCTAAATGGAGCGATGGTCTAACTCTGTCTGAGGCAGTTTCCTGTGTAGCTCCTGTTCTTCAGTGGATGAACATTAGGGTTTATTTGTGATTGGAAGTTGGGACAGGGGTCTTCTAGCTGTGATCTGTATCATCCTTATTTTCCCCATTCCCTTTTTTGTGACAAACCTTGTGGCTCTTTTTAGGAAACACTGTACTTTGGTAGGACACACTTCTACAAACTGAACCATCTAAAAGGTACAGGGCTTCACTCAGAAACTCTGGACATCCAGCTGAAGAAAAACATCCCAACAGAAGATGCTGAGACATCTATCTGAGACAGAGTTCTGCATAACTTGAAAATAGCATTTTTATCATGGACTGACTCGAAGGATGATATTCAGCTATGTTTTACTCAGGGTAGACCCACTGAAATAAATGAAGATGACTAAGGTCATTTAAATGGGTCTTCTTAGAGTAAGGCTTAAATGACTACCACTCTAATAAAGGAAATATTTTTCTGAACCTATATATGTTTAATAATGTTAATACTAGGCCTACAGCTATAAAACATGGAGAAAACGCGTGACAACATGGGCACAATTGTTTTATTTCTCATCTTCAAGACTGGTTCAAGACTTGGAGAGCCTGTGTAGTGTAGTGGTGTAGTTGTTAAGAGCAGTGGACTCGTAATCTGGTGAACCAGGTTTGCTTCCCCGCTCCTCGACATGCAGCTGCTGGGTGACCTTGGGCTAGTCACACTTCTCTGAAGTCTCTTAGCTTCCCTCACCACACAGAGTGTTTGTTGTGGGGGAGGAAGGGAAAGGAGATTGCTAGCCGCTTTGAGACTCCTTAGGATAGTGATAAAGCGGGATATCAAATCCAAACTCTTCTTCTTCTTCCCCCTTCTGCCACACTAGCCAGGTTATGGCTTTCCCCCACATGAACGAAGGGTGTAGCCACAAAATTTGCTACACCTTTGTAAAGCCTTCTGGGCCAACTTCTTAGTTTGCATAAGGAAGAAGGCATGCCAGAAGCAACACATATATGATGGCCTAAGATATTTTGTTGTCTAAATCAGAGCCCAATTCCCTGGCCAGAATTAGAACGTTTGGTCTTCACTTCACTAGGCAGACATAAATTCCTGCCTTCATCCATCCTTCCACCCCATTCCAATTCCATGGTGCCATCAGAAGCATGTCTCTACACCCTGCTATGTGGCAAGGGTAGCCTTGGCAATATGAACACCTGACCTGCTTCTTCTAATATGGCATGCACTGTTTGGATTTGCTACCCTGGCAACTGCCCAGTCTCTGCCTTTGTGCTTTTCTTATCTTCACTACGAATTATATCATGATGTACACTAATATTGCACAAAGAAGAATGAAGGACAGACTTCCCTATTCCCTGACATCTCTCTCTCTCTCTCTCTCTCTCTCTCTCTCTCTCTCTGTGTGTGTGTGTGTTTGTGTGTGTGTGTATTAGACAGAGAGGGATCCAGGATCCACATAGATTGCTTCACTGTAACAGAGATGCTTGTTTCTCCTTTGGAAAGCAGAACCAGAAAACGAAAACGAATGTCATAGCTATGGACTTGCAATGTCAACTTATTGATTTTTATATGAGTCTCTAGAGACATTAGACTGGCAGAAAGATGTCATATCAAACACAGTGCTCATAAGTCTCTTAGACTGGCATGTTTCCACACTTCTTTATGTATCAGGAATGGCTGTGCTGTGGTTTTGCTGACCTAAAACGTAAGGCAGCGTTTTCTGAATAGAGGCATTTCTGTATTGTGCTTGGTGTGGATTCAAGGAGTTAAGGAATAACACATGGACAAGGTATAAATTGAGTCAGTTCCAGTATCTGCAGTGTTATTCCCGAATAACACTCTTTGTAAGACAGTTAAAATTCTTATTATTGTTTATTATTTCTAGGGTCTGCCCACACTGAGCTTTTTAAAATTAATTAAATGGGAAAACCTTCTGTAGATAAAGGTTCGGCACACCAGATCAGCCGGACTTGTGCCGCCACAAGGCAACTTGTGATAGATGACATGTTTACAGTTAGGCGGATTTCTCCCACTGGAGAGCCTGATTGCTCAGAAAATGTAGCCAGCAGGGCTTAAATGCTATTTTATGCAACTCTAGCCATTGCTCATGAAAAAGTAGCTGCAACAGAAGTGGAGAAAGAATATTCTTGCCATTACATAAGTTGCATGGTCTCTATTGGATTGCATTAGTAGTCATAGCTATATGGCTTCTTATGTCCTCTTAAGGCAGGTGTGGGAAGCCTTTGGCCCTCCAGATGCTGATGAACTACAACTCCTGTCGATCCCAGCAAGCATGGCCAATGGCCAGGGGTGATGGGAGTTGTAGCTGTAGCAACTTCAGAAGGGCCAAAGATTCCCCACACCCGTCCTAGGCATTAAAACCAATGAAGCAAAATGGGTTTGCACGACAGAAATCCTTGGAAATACGTAACACAGCAGTTACGCCCCATTGCCTCAAAACTTAAGAATGGAAGGAAAGCCCTGCTGGATCAGACCAAAGACCTACCTAGTCCAGCATCCTACTTCCTGCAGTGGCCCACCAGGTGCATCTGTGAAGCCCACAGGCATGGCACAAAGGCAACATTCCTGTCCTCCCCACTTCCGATTCGTAGCAGCTGCTACACAGAGGCATAGTGCTTCTGACAGGGTAGGTACAACATAGCTATTGTGGCTAGCAGCCACTGATAGCTTCATCTTCCCTAAACTTATATAATCCCTCTTTTGGTGTGCTCCCTGCATCTTGTGGGAGCAAATTTCTTAGTTTAACCACATGATGGGTCACCGACTTGGATAGCTTTAAAAGAGGATTTGACAAATTCACGGAGGATAAGGCTCCCAGTGGCTACTAGTCATGATGGAGGCTAAGTCTCTGAAGACTGGTTGCTGGAAACAGAGGCAGGTTTAGGGCAGCGTGACTGGTTCCACCACATTGGGATTCCTGCATTGCAGGGAATTGGGACTAGATGACCCTGAGGGTGCCTTCTAACTCTACAATTCTATGATAATGTTTGGATTATTGTTCAGGATTAGCGCGGCTTAACCGGAGGCAGAACAATTGGTAAATCTGCTTGATGAGTAAGAGGGATTTCAGCACCCCCATATCTCACCCCTGTTAGAAAGAGGTTACTGCAATTCAGTCTATAAAAATTGTATGCTCTGCAGGAATTATTATCATTATTCATTATTATCAACACCACCACGCCTCTGCTCCCATAAAGTGAAAATGTATGACTTCAAGTTTAAGAGTTCATTTCTGAAGATACTGTGTCCCAAACACACCCTCTAAATTGAAATTAAGGAAGCAATTTATGTTGGAGTTATGTTCCGGGGGTTCACACATAGAGGAAGTTACATGGAGGTGAATATTTTTATTTATTATTGTTATATTTCTATCCCACCTTTAATTCAAGGAGCTCAAGGTGACAGGTGTATATGGTGCTTCCTCTCCCCATTTTACTCGCAACCCAACCCTCTGAGACGGGTTAAGCTGAGAGACTCTGACTGGCCCAAGGTCACCCAGCGAGCTTCATGGCTGAGTGGGGACTAGAACCCCAGGGTCTCCCAGGTCTTATTCCAACATTCTAACCACTACACCACACAGGCAATGTGCATGTTCATCTCCCACACTCTCACCAGAACCATGTTTAAATAAACTGCCTTGTCAAGTTTGGCCTTGTGCTGATGCTATCTGCACAGGAAGCCAATGCAAGGGTTCTGAGCCCACGGTTCTTCCTGCTCTGAGAGATCTCATTCTTGCAGGCCTTCCTACAGGCTCACGGCAGGTAAGGTGGATGCATGCTTTAAGACAAGGCACTGCTTGTGATCAATGCTGTACATAAGCTGTGCTAAAAAGTGTCTACAAAATTTTATTTTTGCCTGTCTGTCCCAGGCATGAAGTACTCACCTCAAAGCTTCAAGGCCCTAGATGGTTCTGTTTCCAGGTTTGCACCCAGCAGACAGAGATGGGTAGGTTCCTAAGTAGATTCCTTTTTATTACAAATAAAACCTATAGAAGCACAACTGTTCCCCAGCCATTGCCTAGCAGCAGCTATTCCATTAGGCTGCAGAACAGAAGGAAGGAACGAACGGATGCAGACCTATTCTATTGCCTCTGTTGAGATTACCAGCTGCCTTTGGTCCTCCATCAACTGTTTCATAGCAGCTGATTTGGCTACCTGATCTGTTTCCATCCCACTTCACAATCTGGTGCCTGAGCTTGCCTTTGTTTTCACCTTGTCCTCCCTCCTGGTCCCCTTTTCCTCATTTGCTATGTCTTCTGGATTGTACACATGAGGGCAGGGGCTTCCTACAGATTTGTAATGCCCCCCAGGAGCCTTTTCTAGTCCTTCCCACTAAACTCTTGTCATATGTTGTCACTCCAATCCCTGCCAAAATATTATGAATGTTGCATGCACACACAAAATTAGTCTGGAATTAATTGAGAACGTATGCTGATTTGCGCAATATATTATTCATCGTGTATCATTTGCCATTATAATATAACATTTTTGTGCACATAGCCAAATTTGATCCATAAAACCTAGCTGAGAATATATGGAATCTTTCTATCTTGGGCTTGAGTCAAATCCTTAATATCCTTTTAATACAGTTTTAGGTGAATTATTTATTACGCTGATACTTTCATTGATGATCCCAGGCAACTTCCTCCAAAGTCAGTGGGGCTTTTGAGTGCAAATCAATAGCAGCATTTAAAGGTAATACTGTCATCCTTTGATGCATTGCATGTAAATCAATTCAAAACTAATTTAGATATAATTTAGATACTACAGCCTTTAAACTTTGTGTAAAACAGTTCTGTGTCTTTTAAAAAGAAAAGGAAATTGCAGTAGGTTGCTGAGGTTTTAGAGCATAATGGTGTTCAAGAATATACCTAGGGAAAT